ACTAGAGGGAACTAAAGGACCAGGCAGAAAAGAGTTAAAATGGCTAAGCCGGCTATAACTTTTCTTACCTTAAAGAGCTGTTTGAAACATGGACTGAAATATTAATAGCTAATATCTCAGAAAGGATACAGGTTTCAGTGGATAAACTTTTAGAAGGTGATGGGAAAAACTTTTAAAAACTTTAACCTGACATAGATATTATAGAGTTTGAAGGCCTGGAAGACTACAAAATTGAGATGACCAAAATGGGAAAACAAAAGACAAATCAAGAAAAGGATCTGGACGTGGAACAGCCGTGATAAGAAATCCTGGACATCGACACTCCATGGGATTTACAAAGGAGGCTGGTGAAAGCTTTGAAGACTCCTTTCAAATGCCAAAGAGGGATGAAAGATCAAATCCTGCGATGCCATTGGAATAATTTAAACGTCAAGACTGTGCAGAGCAAAAAGAAGGAATATAAAGTTGGACTATTTGACCAGGGATAAACTATTTTTTTGATATTTCTGGTAACTCCTAATGGACTTTTTGCTGAACTCGGTTTGAAAGATGATGATTTCTGGATTGTGTATAGATAAAAGTTAGGCTATGGGGAGAAGAGATTTTTTTTTTATTTGTAACTTTAAAAGAGGGTGAAAAGTTATTATATTAGCTATGCTCGGTGTGATGAAGGTTGGAAGCCACTAATTTATTATTGTCTGTGCTGCCTTTTTCTTTTCTCTTCTGCTTTTCTCTTTCTCTTTTCATTTTTTCTGCAGCTTCTGAACTTTTCTTCTTCTTTTTTCTTCTAGTTAATTTGTATTAGTTTTTACTATGTTTATTAAAAACTTCAATAAAATTATTAACAATAACAAAAAAAAAGTTTAACAGACATATCGAGGCATTCAAACCCAGCATCCTGTCATTTGGCCCTCCCCAGAAATGTTAGACTACAACCCCCATCATCCCTAGCTAGTGAGGCCTTGTGCATGACCGAAGAAATGGATGGATCATTTATTCTGTTGAATATTCATCAGTACACTTGCCCTTGGCGAAGCATCCTTGCAAAACTCACCAGGTTCCTTTTCTAGGACAGGATTAATAGTCACTTCCAAGAATGGCTTGAGGAAAATGAGCTCAAGCAATTTAACAAGTTTCAAGGGTGTTCCTGAGCCCATCCAAAAACCCTGGTGCCTACCAATGTGATGGGTGAGTCATAGATAAGGACAGGAGTAAACAAAACACACAAACACACACACACACACACAGGTTGCACAAAACAAAATTGCTCAACTCAGGATGTTTATTATTCATTATTTCAGTATTCCAGCTTAAGCTGGCTAACAATAAGAACCATGAAGGATAGCAAGCAGGTAACACCCAGCATAAATAACAACAACAATAATTCTTAACCCAACTCAGAAGGTCTGGCTAAAGAGGAAGATCTTGACTCATTCCTAAGAAATGGAAATGATAAGGGTCTGTCATGATTCATGAAGAAAGGGAATTCCACAGCTTAAGAACCTTAAGGGAGATGATCTTCTCCCAAGTGCCCTGGAGGTGGACTTCTGGAAAAGCAACTCTAAAATGCCTCTTCTACTGATGCGAGGACTGAACTATGACAGGCTCCTTGTCAGGCAGGCAGGCGTTAAGTCAGTTGGGGTTTCCAGAACAAAACCCTGAATTTCGCCCTGAAATCAACTGGCTACTAGTGTTGGACTTTCGACATAAGGATGGCATGATCTCCATACAGTGCCCTCTTACTAGTTTAGGTCCTGTATTTTAGTCCAACCAAAACTTATGGGCATTCTTCAAGAATGGTCTTATGTAAACCACATTGTTATACTCTAAGC